CTCCTACACCTCAGAAAAGAAGAGCAGTTCAAGATGTTTCAGCAAACATTTTATTCATACTTCAAAGTGTTGATGTGCATGTGAAATGATACAACCAGGTCAGGTAAGCCTTGTATAAATAAACCAAAATGCATCCAGGGAAAACTTTTTCTTTCACCAGCTTTGCAAAACTTATAGATCTATATTTTTTAAAAAAATTAATTTGATTTGTGTTTTAACTGATGTCTTAATTTGTTAATTGTTGTTGTTGTTCCCTGCCTTGGTTCATGGGGAAAGGCAGGTAAGAAATAACAATAACAACAACAACAAAATTGTTATTAATATTATTTTAACATGCTGGGAAAGAGCTGGTGAGGTTTATCTTTGCTTCCCTTTTATCTCTGTTTTGCTGTTGATGCATATTTAGTAAAGGATTTTGCAGGTAGCTGCACACCTTGTTTATTGTAAATGGGTACACATGGCTATAGTCGAACAGGCTAGAGCCAAATCAGACTCATTCAGAGCTCTATCTTTGTTTGTTACAGACACACGGCTGCCAATCTACACCCAAAGGCTATGTTTCTCTACCTTTCTTTCACCATCTTCCCACTGCCAATGCTGCTAAAAATTGTACAGCTAGATAGAGAATGAAGAGGAAAAATGAGTTCGGTGAATTCAACAGCCTGATTTAAAAGGAGCTAAGCAGTCAGAGGTATGTCTGTAATTCTTCAGAAGCACCCATGTATTTGGACAACTTGCTAGTCCCAAATACTATATTGCAAGCATTTTTTTTAAATTTCCTGTATCCATGTATTTGGAACATGTGCCAGTTCACAGGACTGACAATTTGGATTCAACACACAAAACATATATATAGATATATGTAAGTATATGTATATGTATATGTATATGTATATGTATATGTATATGTATATGTATATGTATATGTGTAAGGTAAAGGTAAAGATATTCCCCATTGACAAGGATGTCAAGTCGTGTCCGACCATAGGGTGCAATGCTCATCTCCATTACTAAGCCAAAGAGCCAGCGTTGTCACAGACTACTCTGTGATCATATGGCTAGCATGATTGCACAGAACGCTGTTTACCTTCCCAACAAAGTGGTACCTATTTATTTACTTGCATTTTCATGCTTTTGAACTGCTAGGCTGGCAGAAGCTGAGACAAGTGGCAGCAGCTCACCCCATCATGCAGCACCCCGGCCTCGAACTGCCAACCTGCCAATCCACAATCAACAGATATGTGTAAAGCTAGTGAAAACAAGTTAAGAGTTTGGACTTTGGATAAGGCCCCACAAAATAAAAGACAGAAATGGTTTTCGAAATACATGCCACACTCACATCCCCTGTAAAAGTTTTAAGCTCCAGGGCTTTTTTTCTGGATGAAAAAGGAGGTTATCTTTGAATTCTATGCAAGCATCATAGAGCAGGTACAACACTAATTAGGTAGACATAGAGGCGAAGCAGACCACCTCGAAGGAGCAGCTCCGCGCTACCCTTTTGAATGTCGGATTTTTGGCCCAGAAAAAGGGTGCCCTTGCTGCCGTGATGGCACTTTCCTACGCTCTTTTTGGCATGTGGCATATAAATGTTGTGCCAAAGGAGAGCCATAACGCTGCCCACCATGTGGTCAGATGGCAGCATGACACCGGCTTGGGGGTGGCGTTGGGGGGTGCGTCATCCAAACGCCACACCTCCATGCCACCCCAAGCCAGCGCTTAGTGCCAGTCTATACAGCCTCACAGTCATTTTTTTGGCAGAGAAGCTTTTTGTAATTAATGAGATAAAAGAAAGATAATGCAAACATGAAAGGAAGGATGAGCAATTAATAATGAGTAGTTTTTTTGTGGGTTTTTCGGGCTGTGTGGCCATGTTCCAGAAGAGTTTCTTTCTGACGTTTCACCAGCAACTGTGGCTGGCCAGCCACAGATGCTGGCAAAACGTCAGAAAGAAACTCTTCTAGAACATGGCCACACAGCCCGAAAAACCATCAAAAAACTATGGATGCCGGCCATGAAAACCTACAACTTCACAGTTGAAAACCTACAACTTCACAGTTAATAATGAGGCTTGGGGTGAAATTACAGTTCACAGTTGGGTTAATTATATAAGTTTCACTTTTATTGAAAATCATGCCAAAGATATACCCTAAAAGGAGATCTGTAAATAAGGGTAAATAAGTATTTCTGCACTGTAGAAATAATCTGGTTGGATACCTCTTGAACTGCTCAATGCTATGGAATTCTGGGGCATGTACAATCCCCAGAATTCTATAGCATTGAGCCATGGCAGTTAAAGTGATGTCAAATCAAATTATATCTGCAGTGCTGATACACCCCAAGATGACTTTTCTTGCCACTTGACAACCGGCTTGTCTGCATAAGACCAGGACTTCGCATGGTCAATGGTAGTCATTCTTAGCATTGGCTTGGGGCTTGGTCGCTGGTTATGGCACCCGATTCTGATATTCATTTTGGATCCTGCTCAATGGCTGCTTTTAGCAAAGTGTGCGTTATAGTTTTCTAAGTACAAAAGGTACCAAATCAAAGTACCATTCTCAGTGGGAGAGAGAAAGGATCCAACCTGCAGTCCCAATGCTTCACGGCAATACAAGGAAGCTCTCTGTGAACTCTAGAGCAGCTCCAATGCAGAGGCACAAATATGTCTGTCTAAACTAGGAACAGGAGTCAACAGAAGGAAGGGCAATAAAACATCAGAGTAAGGGAGCCAAGAACTAGCAAGACAAGAGGAACAAGGTGCAGAGCTAATATGAGAGTGTGAACAGCTATTTTAGGAAGGAAACAGTCCTGGGATGTCTAACTCTCCAAGCTTTACCGGAAAGATGAGAACCAGAGTACTACAGTGGTTAAAATATTAGAATGGAACTTGAGAAAATCAGGTTCAACTACTCACTGAGCCATTAAAATCATTGTATAGTGCTGAGCTGGTAGTTCTTTTTCAACTTTACCTTCCCTACATCATAGGGTTGTAATTGTGAGGTTAGGATGTGGAGTACACTTGTTGCGCACTTGTGTACACTAGTTGGAGATGTTTGAATTTTTGAAGTGTGAATTTTACTTACATTGTGTGAGTGTTTAATTCATGTGCTGTTTTTAATGCTTTTAGGTTTTTTGATTGAAAAGTTGTG